CCACTATAACCACCTACAAGTTTAGCTGGTAGTTGAGTGGGATTTCTGGATCTTGCTGCAAATCACAAGATCATAAATCAAACACACATAGATTGGTGTCTAGGGTTAAACTGTAATGCATATTCAATTTATTAGAAGTAGGTTAACTTGAAACAGGAGGACACAATGCTGTATATCATGTCAGTTCTTTGCAAATAGGCTCATCCTATATTAGTTTAAAAAGGAGAGTATCCTCATTTACATGATTGCAAATCTAGGTATTTTTATTCTCTTCTCTTGGAAGAACAAAGCTTTAATCACCCTAGGGAAACTGTCCTTTTTGGTTCATCTTTTTTGACTGTTTCCAAAGTGTCAAGATGTGTGGGTGGGTCTGGAGGGCTGAGCCCAAAGGAATGTTTCTGTCTTCTCAGGTGAGCGCTGGCATCACAAAGGCGTGACACCTAGCAGTGGCTCAGCACAGGTATCTGTACAGTGCCAGCACTAATAGCTATCAAGGCAGTTTAGAAAGGAAGGTGAGTACGTGCTGACATGTCAGCAAGTTTTTGAGACATTGATTACATAGCAGTTATAAACTACATACTGTTTTCAAGAAGACCATTCTCAATAGATGAAATGTAGGCAGTAAAATCTAATGATTTATTGTTTGTGTTGTGAGGATGGGGTCTGTTTACCTCTTCTTCCTTGATTGTTGAGTTTGTCCAAGTACTACACATCTTACTGTTTATCCTGTGTTAGATAGATAGGTTTAGCTAATGACTGTACTAGAAGCAGACTGCCGTTAATCAAAGGCAGAGTGTCTTTTGAAGAAAAAGTGCGAGTATTAGCTATTTCCTTCATTTTTAGTGAACCAAAGAACCCAGAGAAAATGCTTCTAAAATAACCTGGTTCACAAAATATTTACAAGCAAAATCCTAAAACTTGAAGTTTAAGGTTTATGTTCATATTTTGTAAAGCATGATTTTTTTGGCCGGTTCAGGTGGAAATAGAAGAAGCTTCAGCTAAAATTTAGACATACAGATGCTTAGGCTACAGCGCCAGTTGACTTCATTAGGATCAGGATCTGGCTGTTGACATAGCTGCTGTTGTAGGTCTTTGGTATGTTTTGGAGTCCTCCTTCCAGCTCCTCTCTTCACCAGAAAATAGGATGCACTGCAGCATCCATCTGTATCCCAGCGAGATAAAGCTGCCAAGGCTGGTTGCTCTGCCAGTCACTCATGGCTGCAGACCCGGGCTCCCAGCTTCAGCACAGGGTGTTCACTCCTTCCTAGAACTAGCTAACTGCTGTCCTGTAGATAGCATTGAATCAGTATTAGGCTAAGGATGATAAATATATTTATCTTCTGTTTTGAAAAAAGACATATAAGGTAATGAAATATGTTTGTATACTCAATGTGACAAGGAACAACGGTCAGGTGTTTGCTTTACTGGATGGATTTCTTACTCAACTGCTTTTTGCACTATTTTGTCCCAAGTTCTTTCAGGTCTTTTTTACTCCAGCTTTGTTTACGCCCACAGTCTGGGCCAGAATGCTACCTCAAAACAGATGTTGACACTGCTGCCTCTTCTACAGAGGCAATAATTATTATTCGTAAGTACTGATTCACTGCAGACTGTACTTTAAAGAATCTGAGATGTTTTATCTTTAGTGGACTTTCAACATAATCAACAAAATTACCATTAACCTTACGTAGACAGGCATACGTGCATGGACATGCTCATGCATGCACACAGACTTTCCCCCTTCCCATAGACCCTAATTTCCTATGGAAGCAGTGATACAATTGCTCTGTTGATATCTCTGTGTCTGCTCACCACTCAGTTGTGAGTCCATGGCTACCCAATTTTGAAGCCAGATGGTGGTGTAAACAGATGATAAATGAAGTTTCATGAAATGGTTGAACCAAGCCAGTGGCTTGCTGGTATGAGAGAGAGAGAGATTTCAATTCCTCCTTTCCGTCCCAAACCTCATGCATGCTCCTGAGCTGGACCCAATTACTTGCCTTACCCTTCACCTGTCTGAATTAGAAGAGAAGTAACCCGGCAAAGAAGGAAGGGAGTTGTTTTCTGTCAGTTTATCAAGCTGGAAGAGCTCACTGAGGGTGAAGGTGGGCACCACGCTTGACTGGGGGAGCAGGTGGGACTGAGGCAGGAGATCAAGAGGGGCAGTTGAATCCTGTCTCTTGGCAAAAGCTGTTATATGTGCTTCATTTTCATAGAATACCTAAGTTCTTACAAATCTCACAAAGATGGCAGCAAACCAGATAAGGAGAGAGAGTTTAGTAGGGCTCCCAAAAAGGAAAAGGTTGCAGCTCATGCTTTGTTTGGCACCAAAGAGTTCAAATATGAAGCCCAGTCTTTCTAGGCCTCATTGATTCTGAGGCTGGTTTTGACTATTTGCTTTTAATTGTATTCTGGCAGTTTTCAAATAATAAAAAAAAAATCAGAATAAGTAATAACACTTTGTTTCATTTGTGAAACAATGTTTTGACTTAATGTTATTTGACCTGAGTTTGGGATAGCTTTGGTCTTGGTGGTGTTGCCTTCTTTAGAAAGTTAATTGTTAACCAGGATATGTGCTTTGCTTTAGTTTTCACTTTTTTCCAGTTTTAAAGAGTGACTATTCAGATCCTCATTTATTTTCTCCTTCCCGTTTGCTTGTATTCTCTGAGAGGAATTCTAAAGCATTCTTCCTATTTGAATAGCAGTAACAGCAGGAGTTAGAAGGAAAATATAATTCCCTATATCCCCTTCTAAATATTTTGTGTGGTTCCGCCCGCCACTACCTTTATAGTCTTCCCCTCTGGCTCTGTGTTCACCATCTTTTAGTGTTTTGCTCTGATAGAGCAGTCTGGGATTATGTGGAAAGCCATTTTGATTTCCTTTACAGAATATTCTGTACTAGTATCAGCTGATTTGCTTACTGTCACCTCCGGCCTTCACAAAAAGACTGTGTCACACCTCTGGAGCACTGGCACATGTTGGCCTTGTACCACATCCCTCAGAGCTAAGCCTAGTGCGGCGTGGAGAAGTGTAAGAAAGATCAAGGCACCGAATATCAATGTATTTGGGATATCAGGGCAAAACACGAACATTTAGTACAACGTGCTTTTCTTAAGGCCCAGCGTAGCTTTTTGATGGTACTATACGAAGTACACTGTCTTAGGACTTTTCATAAAGATCTGTAGCGGCTGTGTCTAAATTAATTAAATACTGTTGAGTTAGTAAGACTTGGTATTAACCCTCACTAGTGCTTATCAGGTGGTTTAGAAGTTGGTGTGGGCCACAATTTCATGCTGTTACATCTCTACACAGTTTGCAAAAGTTTAAGTTATCATAGTCCTGTTGAGCTGGCATAATTTATATGCGGATCAATTCATAAATGCAAGTCCTGAAATATGGGATTATGGTGCGTAAAAGGAGTAGATATCGAAGGGGTTTGTAGTAGCTCTACATCCAACTGAGAGAGACTTTTTCTGGTGGTGTGAGGATGAAGACAATCTCAAGTTATCCTCTTGAGGATGCCCTTCACAAGGCTGTATATAGGGGCCATGTTGAAGATTAGCACATCAAAGGGTATTTTGGCTTCTAGAGCGGCCCACTATGAGCTGATTTTGTAACTCCATGCATCTTTTGTTCGGGGGGGTGTGCTACCCATTGTAGTACAAAATCTTATCCAGAATGGGATCTCATACTTAGCATTAACAGCCATCAATTGCTGCCTGAGAAAAATTCATAGCTACACAGCATTCAAGTGTTTACAGAGCTTTTTAACAGTATTGTGAGTTAAAAAAAAAAAAAATTATATTCAACACTATTCAGAAGAGAGGTAGAGACTTTTTTTCCCCTCCAAAACAGATTCTCTTTCTTCCCCATCTCTTTTTAAAATTTCATTATAATTCCCACTCCAGGGCTGTACATACACTTTTGATTGATTGGTTTTATTCACTTGCTCCAGCCAGAGAGAAGCCTGTCTTGATTTCAGACCTTGGCTAAAGGGTAGGCAGGAACAGTTGAAAGAAAACTATTTGAAAGAAGAATGTAACTGTGGAAAAAGTAATAATAGTCTGGGGCCAAGTAAACATAGTGCTGTGTGTAGATGAACATGAGCGGTGTGTGACAGTTTACAAGTCACCAGCTTACCAGTTGAGAGTATCAGTTTGCATCTGTGTGCCCTTTAACGGTCAGTGAGGTTTGGTTAGGTTGTTTGCTTTGTAGATCTCCAAAAGATTTAGAATATCTTGTAGGAACATGTCGACAGATTGATGTTTGCCCCCAAGTAACTTGCAAAATTAGTTTTCAAGGAAACAGAAATACAGCTGAGTCTTTCATGTGAGAAGTAATGCTAAAATCATGCTAGAATAATACATATATTTGTTTTTCCTTACAAAAAACATTCTTACAATATTTAGAGGCTGACAGAAAAAAAGTAGTTACTGGAGATCTGCAGATTGCTCTGCTTGAATTGATGCAATCCATATCAAAAGATCAAAGATTTTTTAAATGAAAACTTAACGCCAGCATATATATTACAGTTTATGATTAATTTTCCTTCATCTTTGACTTTGGGTCACCCACAGTGACAACATAAAAACATTTGACTGTAATAAGAAGTAGTGACTTGGTACAGGATGGAGAGTTTAATACAGTTAACTTCCATTTATATACTGCCAATATACTTTACAGAGAAGATTAAAATTACTTTTACTTTTCTCCAAGCTGGGAAAAGACATACAGTTTTAAATACTCTCTTAGCTGTCTTATGTTGTCTGCAGTATAGTTTGCATGTTGACAGGTCTATAGATGGCCATGGAATTTACTGAAAATAGCTAGTTATTACAAACATACACACTGGAAATTATCTGTGGGCTGTTAATGCCCAATGGCTTTGGATTAAAAGTAATTATAAAAATGGATGTAGGTATTTCCTGATTCCAGAAGATGCTGATAATTATTTTTGGGTTTTTTGTTTGTTTGTTTTTTGTTCTTTAGTGAGATAGAAGATGAATTCAGCTGAAATCACTGATGATGATGAAGGTAAAATATTATACTTTGTGTAATTTATGATCAGGCAAAAATACTTGTTGAATTAAAGCCTTTGTAACCTGATAAAGAATGCACTTGGATGAAGACAAATTACATTAATGTTTTTTAAAAAGCAATCTAAAATACACCATTGTTACTGATTACATCCTTCCTCCCCCTCCAAAAAAAATCTTCCTCCCATAACTTTATTTATACTTTAGACCCTTTTTTGGGGAAGAAACTGTCATTGACTGGATGACTGAATGGTTCCTAGCATAATAAAAACTTGACTTTGGGCTTGGCCTCAGCATACACTTATCGTACAAGTCATAAAAAATAATGATGTTCTTCAAAACACATTTTCATAAAAAGAAAAAAACCCACAAAAGATTGTGTTAAGGGTGTCATGGTTTTCTGGAGAGAGTGCTTTATCTTTCTAAACCTTCTCTTTTTCCAGTAAAAATTCCTAAAACGAGTGTGAAAGTAGAAACAGAAAATGAAGATGAAGCCCTAGACTGCTCAGTAACATCCAGATCTGCTGAGAAACACTCACTGGATGGCGCAGTTACTTGCCTACAGGATTCCAACAAACGGAAACAAACCTCACTTGGTTGTGAAGGTTCAGGGAGCCAGCAAGATGTCTTACCCAGTGTGAAGAAAAGACGCTTTACACAAGAGGTGACTTCTGTATGCATGACTGTGATTTTTCTGTTCATATTTCATAGGCTGAATTCATTGCTGCTATAAGCAAAATGCAAGTCATTTAACTAGATTTGCATTAGTAATGAGTTTGAGGGAAATATGGCTAATCTTAACCCAGTTTGCACATATTACTTGTCTGGGTATTTCTTTAAATAATGTGGGAGCGATCATATCTGTGCAATACAGTTATAGATTAGTTCATTCATGTGAAGTATAGTTTTGTTGTTTGTAAGGGACTGTAGGAGCAGGTAGTGATTTGGATTGACTGAGCATGACTCTGATTACAGTCCCTCTCATGTCATACAGTCCTTCAGCTGGATCCTCAGTGGTAGAATCAGGGCTGTAATTCTTCTTTCTGTGACACAGATTTCGATGTTAGTGAGACAAGTATAGATTTGTGTTTTATTTGAAAGATAAAAATGCAGGGATGCAGAAGACTTCAACGTATCAAGAGCAGAATGTACTACAACTTCTGGTGCAGCATCCCACTTATGACAATCCAGATGTTTGTCCAGCTGGTGAAGGAGATGACTGGTCACTTCTGTTATCCTGTTCTGGTGTTTCACCTCTCTAGCAACTGGAGATTTTCATTAATATTTGCTGAAACTGAGCAAGTTTCTTTTTGTCCTTGTTTGTTTCAGTAGGGAGATCAGTGGTCATCTGTTCCTAGAAAAGCCTTCTGCACGTGGGAAAATTGGTGTGAATATTTTTGTTGTTCTTTTGATATTCTTGAAAGGGAAGTGTCCAGTGTTGGATAGTCACATCTCTTATAACACCCTCTAAAGCAGTATAATGACGACCTGTTTTTCACACTCAGCACTTTATTAAAATAACCTAGATTCAAATTCATCCTCTTTTGGATAACTTCAGGCCCTGGGTTATATTTAGTTTATGACCTACTCTAATGCACATATCCTTTTCTGCTGTTCTGCTACCTAGCCAGTTACTCCGTGTTGCATTTGTGCATTTCATTTCTCCTTTCTAGCCATAGCTCTTCTTATTTTTTTTTCTTGACTGTCATCTCTCTCACTTTTCGGGGCTGTTTTTTTCCCTGAATGCCTGTGGTAGGTAGGTTTTAATCTTATTACATGGTTTCTTTCTTTTCCTTTCTCTTTTTCTTTTTACAATTGTTTTACTTATATTCAGATTCTTAAAAGAGCTTCATAATGGTCTCTGAACTGTGCTTGCTTTGGATTTTACTGTTTGCCTTGAATAAATTTTAAAATTTGATTTGAAATTAATTATAACTTTGTACTTAGAATATCAGAAAGTGACCCAGTAACAATGATGAAAATTCATTCTTGACTGACCCCAGTGAATCAGCATGTTTAGTTAAATAACCAGAAATAGTCCTCGATCCTAACAACATTTTTTAAGTTAATTACTTTTCTAGTACCAATATTTTGGTTTAGCTGATGACTTCATTAACTATTTCTGTTTAAACAGAGGACAAAAAGTTAATTATTTTTGAGAATATTGTGCTTGTATATTTTTACTACACATCACATAGGTATCTATGTATGATATAAGCAGAGCTGTACTTTTTATGTTATATCACTGTACCATTGAGCTGGTGATTGTATTACTAAATGACTTGCTATCAGAAGACATTTTACTTTTTTTAAATTCTGATTGTCACTTCATAACCAGAACTTAATTTTCCCTAATTTTCTTTTAAAAAAATAGTGGAGAAGATTGTAAGTTTAAAAAAATTGTGCAAGACATTTCCAAGTTCTCATGTGTTTGATAGAATCTTTTTATGTGTTTCTTGTTCATATATTTATTCTTCTTTACTCATGTGCTAGAATATTATGCTCTGTATTCTTACAGATAGTTAGACTTCATTTATTAAGCATAATAAAGGTCATAAATTAGCTGGACTTCAGCACTGAACAGAGCAATAACTGAACAACTTTTAAAATTTGGCTTAGGACTCAGAGATAATGTGAGAGACTATTTCACAATTACTTATACTGGTCAATGTTTACCAAAATACTGCATTTTGCAAATGTTCAAAGAATGTATATAATATAAAAATTTGCTGTGCAAATGTAGTATAAAAAGCAGCACTATCTTAGGTACATTGAGTCTCATAGAACAGTATTTTTTCTTATTTTTTGATGGTACATTAAAACTGTTCATCTTAAATGGGTGTAGTATTATCTGAAAGACATTGATGTTTAAAGATTAGTGTTGCAGAAAACTAATTAAAAATATTAAATACTAGTTTAATTGGAGAACTTATGAAAAGCCATGTATTTATGCTGTGGATAGTGCTGTTCCCAGATGGAAACTGTATAAAGACAAGATAATTAAAAGCAAAAGGAAAGAAAACTAGAATGCATCTGAAATAGAAAATCATTAAATATAGGCCCAAATGTGTTGTCATCTGTTAGTCAAACACCAACTATGTGTTCCTGAAATGCAGATAACCAAATCTGTCCTGCAACCAGATCCAAACACTGTGAGCTGCGTTAGTGAAAGGGCAGAAGTTCTGCTGCCATCGCAGCAGAGATCTGCTATAGTTCTTGGCATGAACACTTCTCTTCTCCAGAGCACTGCGTCCAAAACTGAGAATGCAAACTTTCACAACACTCACTGTAGAAGTGCAATAAGATACTTAAGACAATGAATTTGTGCTGTTTAATACACATTCTAATATTGCTTTGCCCTGGCTCTGGGTGTGAGGTGTGCATTAGTAGAAGTTACCCCCACATTGCCAAGTTTTATTATATAATTAATTAGGGAAAAGGTACAGCAGGAGTTCCAACAAGAACACAGATGACTGGTGGCCTGTGCCAAGCTATTTAGTAGAAAAGGAATTGAATCATACTCTGTAAGTGAAGGAATATTTGGAATATTCTCTGTAAACAGGAGTGTTAATGGAAGAGCTAGCTACTTAGGTAGCAGTGTAAGAAATGTATTCTCCAGAATTGCAATTTTATTTTGTTCTTTTGATCTAAAACGGTAAAAGAAATCTGTAATTCAGTCTCAGTGTCTGACTGGGGAGCAGAACTATGTTTACTGTCAGTGGAGATTTTCATGACCTGCTTTCAGGTGATGTCTGTTTGGGAGAGCTCTGTTACCATCTGGAAATACCTCTGTTTCTCCACTGACAAGTGTAGGTGGTGTATTACAACTTCAGTCCCAGCGTAGGAACCTATAGTTAGGTGGAAGCAATGTGGATCTCAGTCTGCTCACAGTTCGGTCTCTTGTGTCCTGGTGTTTTACAGGTCACAAATTGCTGATTTAGGTAGGGTATATCACACCACTTGCTGGGGTAAAGTTCACCCTTTAATAGCTGGTGGTGTTACAGGACTCTGGTTCCTCGCTGTCCTCATAGCAAGTGTTCTTTATTAGGAGTGAGACTGGAGGGACAGTCTTCTAAATGGGACCTGGAAGTCAGGTGTCCTAGGCATCACCAGGGCTAGGGATTCTGCACATTGTGAAATATATTGCCTTTGTGTTACGCTTTCATTTTATCATCTGTCCATCCATACAGCTTTGGATGTGAAAACATGAGGTTTCATGTGTAGGGTTGTGTGATATGAATGAGACCAGAACTTGTGGGAACACAACTTCAATTTAATTGAGTCTGCTGATTTTTAAACTTGGAGTGGAAACCAGCTTGTTCTTTCTGAGCCTCTTGAGTATACATTGCATTAGAAATTAAAAAGTAATTGGATTCAATTTGTCACTGCAGTAAGCAGATGACAAGTGTGAATGAACATAGGGACCAGATTAATTTCATGAGTGTTACAGTTCTGTTTTTTCAGAAAGGAACCTTAATGCAAGCTCCTCACTGTAGGGCGTAATGGGGTCTTCACTAGAATTTCAAATTGCTTGTGGCTCTCAGCTCAGACCTCAAGTCTGTGTTCCATTTGTTTTAATACTTGAATGCAAATTCTGTGGTTTTTATCTAATTAATGTTCTGTGGAACAAGCCAAGCAAAATGTTTCAGTACAGTCTTCTCTAAAATCTGTGAATGTTTTCTCATGTTTGAATTCTGCATGTTGGATTTTGATTCTGTTGTGTCTACTTAACTTCCTAAGAATTATTTGTAATATCCATGTGTTTGCAAAAAACCCAACCCACCCAAGCCCTGCATATTTGCTGTGAGTTGATGAAAACGCTTGCTTCCAATTTCAAACAATGAGGAAGAGTTGGAAATTATTGAGAACATTAATTCCTTAAGAGCTCATTACTGTTTTTTATATAAAATGTAGAAAATTAGAAACCACTGAGTCTAAACTTCCCTGCCTTTCAGAAATAAATCTTAGGCTTCCCTTTTTAAAAAGACCATAGCAAGGTGCTTTTCACTTTGGTTTTAAGTTTTTATTATTTAAATAGAATACTTTTTTAAAATTACAGTCATTCTTAGAACTTGTTTAGGAGTTGTACACCATTATAAAGATTAAAAAAAACCCTATATAAACATTTCACATCAGAAAGATGAGAATAAGCATAATTTTGGTGTCTTACAGCCTTTGCTATTTTCAAAAGCTAACCTAAAGAGAGTGCTGGAACATTAAATGCAGTTGTTGGAGGCAGTGGCAAGGTCACAGGACTAGGAGTCAGAAAATCTAGATTCTATTCTTGGCTCTGTTGCTGACTTGTTGCCACCCAAATTCTCTACAGCCCAGGATCCTCATATGCAAAGTGAAGCATAATGATACTTAATTTGGGAGAGTATTTAGAGCTCTGTGGGTAAAGAGTACTAAGGATTGTTATTGCATCTCTATTCCATGGAGAAAGCCATGAGCCAAAACAACAACAACAAACTTAAATAATACATTACTGTATTTTTATTTTTCCTAGTGAATTTATTAATTTTGATGTATTTAACACAACTAAGTTCTCTGGAGAAAATCTGACTTTGCATATTTATGTAACAGTGCCTGCTTAAGGGGCACATATTTATAGCTAATATTTTTAAGGCAGTCTTGCTAATACAATATTTCTTCATTCAAAGGGCCCCTTTTCCAACATGAGGAACAGAGATACTGGCTCACCCACTCAGGTAAATGCAGAGCAGCCAAACAAGAACAAGAATCCTAACGTATCGTGGCTCTGTGAAGAAGAATCCTTCAGTGACATAACCACTCCATCTTATAAAAAACCTCTCTATGGCATCTCACACAAAATCACGGAGAAGAAGAACCCACCAGGAGCAGAGCAGTTTGCTTCTTACGAGTTGTTTGAAAAAATCAACCCCAGCAGTCCCTCGCATCTTCGGACTTTGAACGACCAACGCAAAAGGGACTCGGCTGCAGCCATTGCCGTAACAGCGGCCACCTCAGATTCTGACCCAAATATATATTCTTTGATACAGAAAATGTTTTACACACTTAACACCCTCAACACCAATATGACTCAGCTTCACAGTAAAGTTGACCTGTTGTCTCTGGAGGTTAGCAGAATTAAAAAGCAAGTCAGTCCAGCAGAGTCCGTTGCAGATTTCAAGCCTCCCCCAGAGTACCAGCTGACTTCTGCGGAGCTCAAACAAATCATGGATCAAAGCACGTCAGGTGGAGACCTAGCTTGCCGGTTGCTAGTGCAGCTCTTTCCAGAGCTCTTCAGCGACGATGAGTTCAGCAGAAGCTGCAGTGCATGCGGCTTTCTCAACAAAAGGAAACTTGAATCTCTTCACCTGCAGCTTATCCGTAACTATGTGGAAGTTTGTTATCCTTCTGTGAAGAATACAGCTGTGTGGCAGGTGGAGTGTTTGCCTCAAGTCAATGATTTTTTCAATAGATTTTGGGCTCAAAGGGAAATGGAAAACAGTCAGCAGAATGTGCAATTGTCCGGTTTTTATGAGACCGAACAGGTCGAATCCTCTCATTTTATGGAGGATAAAGAGCAGGAGGAAGCTTTGTCCTTGGACAGGAGTAATGCCATTGCCTCAGATTACATGCTGGATGCTCAGGATCTCAATGAATTTTTAGATGAAGCTTCTTCTCCAGGGGAATTTTCTGTTTTTTTGTTACACAGATTGTTTCCAGAACTCTTTGACCACAGAAAATTAACTGAAAGGTACAACTGCTTTGGAGACTCTGGAAAACAACTGCTGGATTCTCATCGGCTTCAAATAATCCGTAGGTACACTGAAATTTACTTTCCAGATGTGCAAGAAGAAGAAGCCTGGTTGCAGCAATGTGTTCAGCGAATAAATGATGAGCTTGAAAACACGTATATGGATGGAAGTGAATGTGATCAGATGAGAGATGACTGTTACGATTCCTCTAGTTTACCAGATGATGTATCAATCATAAAAGTGGAAGATAGTTTTGAATATGAAAAACCTGGCAGACGTTCAAAAAAAATTTGGCTTGTACCCATAGACTTTGACAAACTTGACTTTCCCCCTCCCGATTTTGATGTCCCTGTCCCGGATTACCTGTTGAACAAAGAACAGATTAAAAGCATATATGAAAGCAGTCTTTCCATAGGCAACTTTGCCTCTCGATTGCTTGTTCTCTTATTTCCTGAACTATTTACTCACGAAAACTTACGGAAGCAATACAACTGTAGTGGATCTTTAGGCAAGAAACAGCTCGACCCCACTAGAATTAAATTAATTCGACATTATGTGCAGATACTGTACCCCAGAGCAAAGAATGACAGAGTGTGGACATTGGAGTTTGTTGGGAAGCTTGACGAGAGGTGTCGACGAAGAGACTCGGAGCAAAGGCGCACGTACCAACAGCAACGGAAAATCCACGTGCCAGGGCCTGACAGGAGGGAATTTCTCAGCTATGCAATAAACCCTGAGAGGTTTCGAGAAGAATTCGAAGGGCCGCCGCTGCCACCGGAAAGAAGCAGCAAGGATTTTTGCAAGATACCACTCGATGAACTTGTTGTTCCTAATCCAGACTTCCCTGTGCCTTCTCTGTATTTGCTGTCTGATAAGGAGGTAAGAGAGATAGTGCAGCAGAGCCTGTCAGTTGGCAACTTTGCTGCCAGGCTTCTCGTAAGACTCTTTCCCGAACTCTTTACTTCGGAGAATCTCAGACTGCAATACAACCATTCAGGTGCTTGTAACAAAAAACAGCTCGATCCTATCAGACTGAGACTGATCCGTCATTACGTGGAAGCAGTTTACCCTGTGGAGAAAATGGAAGAAGTATGGCATTATGAATGTATACCGAGCATTGATGAAAGATGCCGGCGTCCTAACAGAAAAAAGTGTGATATACTGAAAAAAGCAAAGAAAGCAAAAAAGTGACAGGCTCTTTAAATTCCTAAGACTTTGACCACTAAATTATTATCAGGATTATGCTTTGGTTTAGACTGAGGGGCCTGTCGGGAGCTGAGGGTGCTCAGCATCTAGGACAGTCAGGCACTAAGTTTGTTGCGTTTCAATGTGTGCGTTGCATCTATGTGGCACTGCAGCAGTGGGAAGTGGCTTACTACATTTGTACATGGGTAAACACTATAAGTCATCAGTGACAGAACTATCAATGACTCGCTAAGAGCATGATTTTCACTGGTGCAAATACATGTATCAAAACTGTATTACTCCACTGCCCATTTCTGCATCTTCCTTTTTTTATCACTTTCCAATTATAAAGATTTTTTTTTTAAATCATTGTGCTCTTCAGGGGCAGTTTTTCATTATACCCTTATAAAGAGTCTTGTTAGTTAATTTGGAGGTTGAAATTTAAACTTAATTTAAATTTGAAAGTGCCATGTTCATTGGAAATCCTTGGAATTTTAGACTTTGCTTCTACAGTAATTGCAGCTTCACATTTGTTTTGTTCTTGATGATACTGAGATAATGAAAATAATAATATTGTGTCAAAGAATGGGTCAGCATGGTGTCATTTGCTTTTTGACTGTTACCCAGGTTTTACTTCTAAAATCAAGAATTAACTGTTGAAGAATTGAGACATGAGCATAGACACAATGTGAATGTTTTTGGTTTTGTTTTTTTTTATATTGACACCACAAGCTTGATCCTGCCCCTGTGAGTTCTTTTTTTGTTTTGTCCAGTGTCACTGCTGGCATGACTGAGGATGGCTCGTCTGAATAAAGCCAGCAGAACAGACCCAAGCCTATACCCGTGGAATGTCTTGCCATTGCCTGCTTGCCACGCTATTTGTAAAATAACAGAGACAACAACAACAACAAAAAGACCTGAAACAAGAACTTAGAAAAATTTTAGACCTTACTCTCTAGCAAAATCACGATTCCGAAGGTTTCCAGTATTCATATTGAATTGCTTATATAAAAAGTACGTGCCAAGCTTAGTTTTGTGATGGAATTCAGTGTTTCAGGGTCCCCACATATGAGCTGTGGTAATGTAACTTACTCTTTGTGCGAATGCAACACCATCTGGATATTTCGGGTGTAGGGATATCGAATTCTCTCACTTTGCCAAATTGATTTAGTGTAATTAGTAGCTATTTGGAGACATAACTGTGTATGTATAACGTAGGTTCATATGGTTAAGTTTGCATCATTAATATGTTCAAGTCTAACAGAGACCACCCAGAACCCAATGTGAATTTGCTGTATGAATTGTCACTGGAGAGTGCTGCTTTAAAACTAGTTTTCCTCTTTTTTTTTTTTTCTTTTTTCTTTTAATACTGATAGAAATGGTGAGAGAGAGTCGGACATGGATTTTTAAGACAGTAAAGACAGTGGTCGCTTACTGACCATTGCTGGAACACCTTGAAGCAATTGTTGATGTTCTCTGTGGTCCTTTTTTGTTGTTTACTTAGGTGGGTCATAGTATCAAATTTAAATTCAGTTCCAGTGTAATTTTCTATTTTAGTATTTGTAAGAAAGTATAAAATACTTGATATTTTTACTTCAGATTTTTAGAATTTATTGGTCTTAGAGTCATATTGATCCCCTTCTTGTAAAAGCAAAACGTTTTTTCCTAATGGCAAGAACTAGTAAAAGTATTATGTTAAACTGGGAGTGAATCATAATAGATTGTAGCATTTGCTCATTTCCCCCATATGCTAGCAACATTCTCGAAGAATGTATGAAGAAAGTCATGAATGTACTAAATAATACACTGATACTGTTTATATCCATTTAAATGTTTCCTGTTGGTTTAAATAATAGCAGACCATGCACAAAATGGATATCAGAGCAAATATGGCTATAATAAAATGAAAACATTTTACCAAAGATAAAGAACTGATACCACAATGTCTGCATCTTATCTTTCATTTTAGTGCATAAATTTAGCAAATTGAATGTATCAGAAACCAAGACTTTCTCTTGTAATTGTATGCTACCTAGCACCTCTGTGAAATTTTTTACATGCACTTTTGTGGGAGATATAAAATGACAGAAATTATTAACAGCTGCTTAATTTGTTGTTGCAAATGGCTGGCCAGAAGGTAAGAAATATAATTATGTTTTCTTATCTTAATGTCATACACATTTCACCACTTAGTGATGTCGAAGTTCCCAGAAGAATTCGATATATATTAAACTTTTCTACAATTGACAGATGTTACTAGTTAGCATGCAAATTTGAGACATACTGACTTTTACTGTAGATGTTGACATTAAGTCAAATCAGTCCATTCATATTATCTACTAAGAAGTGAAAAACCAATTTTCACCCTTTAAAATTACATTTTTGAAAGTGGGTATAGAAAGATTTTCATTTGTTTTTTTCTCTTCTAATTGCTGTGTACATTCCTTTTATCTCACTCTTCACAACCCTTTCATGATTCATTTGATTGTATGTTTTATAACTTATATCAAGAAAATACAGACATATGAATAGTGACATAGTTCACTAATGAAAGCTCTTGCAGTGCACCCGAAGTACAGCCACTTCATCCAGTTGGTCAGTCTTGTAAATAAATTAAAGGTATATTATTTTCATACAAGAGGAATGTTGTCTGGTGATTGCTTGAGTACGGGCAGGAATTTTTTTCCTATGAAGTCTGTTACTAAGATGTGAGATGATAACCTTAGCTAGTCAGACAATACATAAATGAAAAAACCCTGGTTTGCTGCAGCCATTTAAAAAGATTATTCTTTCAGACTTTTTTTGTTTAAAAGAATAAACTTACCATTTTGAAAGTGAGGCTGTGATAGGAAGATTGCTAGATATTGAAGTGTTTGGAACATACATAGCCATGCACATACTGACTTCCTGCAGATGAATGTTCTTTTCTACCTACCAGGTTAGTAAACCATGTTAGGGTGAATATCAAGTGTCTCTGTCTACTTCTTATAGTTTAAATGTATCAGCTTTGGATAAGCATTGAATAGCCCACTTCTAACAGCTTTCTAAAAGAAACAGTGTAATATATCACAACTATATTTTTGTGTCTTACCCATTTTCCAAAATTAAAACCTTCTTACTTAGAAGTTCTGTAAAAGATGTAAAACAGCACATAAAAAGGGAGATCAGGTATGCATCAGTTTATTGCCCATTAACTGTATTCAGCTGACAGTATCAACAAGTTTGCAAATGAGAAAAATCTTTACTTGGAAGTCAGCCACGTTGTTATGCTGATGCATTACAGCCACCAAAGTGTTTCATGTTCTAGGAAATGTTTGTGAGTAGTTTTTTCTTATCTTCAAAATGCATATAATTTATTTCTAGGTACATTTTTTAAAATTTGTCATTTGTCTCTTTTCAATTATTTTTTTTATATTTATATTATGTTATAGCAGTGAGAAACAGAGAATTGTGTGCTCGATGTTCTACAAACGCACACTGGGTCTAATTTCATGCTGGAAGGGGCTAACATGAATTCTACAGCCCCAAGAAGCACAGAAAATAATATGCAGGCTTTATTCATAGTCTATTTTTATTCAGATTTTGTTTCACTGATTAAAGGGATGTGAAACAGCTGGAAAATTCAATGTCTTAAGCTTGCCTGTGCAGAGGATGGGGCATAAATTGACAAGTGTTCTTACTTACCATGCACATTTTAGTTGATTGATTGCACTTAAAATCTACGGGAGAACCAAGCGTGGCAGGTTCAAGCCTATGATTTTTCTGAGTAAATGAAACAAATTCCATCACCATCATTGCCAAAATTTCTTCACTTCCTCGGTTTGACTTCCTGATTTTTTTTCATTGTTACTGCAGCTCGGCACCAATGGAGTTACGGGTTTTTTCCTCAGGAACATGCTGAAAACATCTTTTTAAATGTGCTTGTAGTTGTTTAAAATGAATAGATGAAGTGATGGTTTAGTTCCCTCTTAATTCTCTCTTAGGATTGTCTTTGCTAAGAAAGACAGAAAAAGAATGAAATCCGCACTTTTTTGTCTTCATTCTTTCCTACCTACTGTTTTGTCCTAGTAAATATTAAGATAGATAAATTTCTAGTAATAACAGTGCTTTCAAAACCCTCTTTTTACCCTCTCCATTATAAAAGTCATTCATCTAAACTTCTCACTGGTAGTGATAGTCTTAATTTCCTGCAGAAATAGCTCACAGAATACATAATACTCATCATTATCTTTGTCACAGCTCATACAGATCCTGTTCTGAGGCCACCTCTCCTGCAGCAGAGCTCTGGCTGAAGGAGCTGCCCTGGGTTGGCCAGTGCCAGTGCCGGCAGCAGATGACTCCCAACGAAATCAAAACTCCCATCACATTCACATTTTCCTTATACCTTATCTGACTGGCAGGAGATTAGCCCTTACACTGTATTATTCTTATCCAGCATATTCCTTTTCATTTTTGTCATTTTCCAGGTGCTGCCTTTTCTAGTTAGTGGCCATAAAAGCCTGTGACATGGCAGACCACCTACTTACTCCCATTTCCTGATCAGTTCCATGATGGGGCTGTGGTCGCCACCGAGCATTTTTCTTCCATTAAAAATTCGGAAAGAACTTTGATTCTCACAGGAAGGGAAGAGCTGTAATAGAAGGGAGAATGTTCTGGAGAATATGACATGTTCTTTTCCCACTTCTCTTCCTCCGCTCCCCCCCCAAGACAACCATGAATAGAACAGACCTGGTTTGGGCTTTTTTTTACTAGGTTTTCCTTATTTTCCTTTTAAAAATTTAGCATGACTTCCCAGTCAAAAAAATGGGCAAAATCACCACGTGTCCAGTCACACTAAAATTTGTGTTAATAGATGGAAACAAATTGTAATTACTGAAGACTGGAGGAAGATCAGCTGATTAATACCTCCCCACACACAAATGTCAAGTAATCATTCCCAATTTCCTTCACAAATTTCATTATGGCAAAACGACTGTCACTGTTTCCGGAGGAATTTTGTAGTCTTGTGTGTTCGTGCTCACTTCTCTGGGAGGCAAAATATTCCTTCAATTGTTACACTTTCAGGAATGTACCACTTCAGTTAGCTAACTCGTCAGGTAGTGCATTGGCAAGGTCTACAAATGTTTCCTGTGAAAAGAAAATCCCCAGGTACCAGTCAGCAGTAGGAATGAGTCACTCAATAGGATCACATCCTACACTTGAGATTTGATCACTTGTATAAAATCCAGGAGTTCGGTTTTATGTCATGTAATGTTGTCCCTTGTCTCTCTTGCTTCCTATCTCCTTGTTCCAAGAATTTAAAAA